AGATTATGGCTATTTTGAAATAAGTTTTTAAACTTTTCTTAAAACATAGAACAGTAAATAAAGAAGTAAAGCAAACAATTATCTCTTCTAGTTACGACCTTTGTACTCGATTGCTGCTTTATGTAGGTTGCTAAGCACTTGGAGGATATGAAACAAAATATTTTTTATATATACATTTGAATAAATAAAAAATCGTAAATTACTACATTAATACCATAGAATTCTACTATAATCTATCAAGCTTAGTAACTAAGATGTATTTTAGTATAAAAAAATATGAAATTTTAAGCAAACTAGAGACACATCCTACCTTGTTGAAATATTGGTTCAAAAGAAATAAATGGTGCCAAGCTCATTAAAATGGCTGAGGAAGCCACTAGGGAACATTCTGAGCTTCCAATTCATGTCAAGTGGCTTTTCGTGAAATTTTAAGCAAACTAGAGACACATCCTACCTTGTTGAAATATTGGTTCAAAAGAAATAAATGGTGCCAAGCTCATTAAAATGGCTGAGGAAGCCACTAGGGAACATTCTGAGCTTCCAATTCATGTCAAGTGGCTTTTCGTCCGGGAATCTTCTGTCCAAATCCCATAACTTTCATCTTTCCCGTTACCATAGAGTTTTCCTCTCAACTGTCCTCATCATGTTAACCCGTTCCTTCCGGATTCGTCAACCCCCTTGACGACCTTCTCTTCCAGATTGGGACATTAATGTGGTTCTCCATTTTCTTACTCTACCTCCATTCAAATCTATTCCCTTGTGTTCCTTGTTTCACCTGTTCCTTAAGGTGTATTTCCTTCTCCTTATTGCTTTGGGCATTGACAGTCTGAATTGTTTGCCATCGGCATTACATGCACACTTTACCACCATACCTATATTCTCCTTTATCCGGATCATTCCTTCCTCCCCAAAATTTCGGCTGCTTGAGAGGGTAACTCCTTTTTCTCGCCTGTTTCCCCTCCCTCTCTGTCTCATCTCTAGTCACGTCCCGATCCAGATAGACTTCTATGTCCTGTGCATACTCATTGTTGTTATATTGCCTACACATCTTCCTTCCGTAGTTCCTGTTCCCATCTCTTTATCCCATGGTAACCCTCTTCGTCTAGAGATCTCTCCCCTTTTACCCTCACCAATTGGGTTCATCGTTTGATCCAGTTGGCTTATTCCTCCTTGTCCCCTTCCCACCATACTTTGTTCTGTATCAAATCCAACACCTCACCTTTTACCTCGCTTCTCATATTCATCGGCGTTTGGAGGAAATCCTACAGTATGGCATGTGGACCAACCCTAACATGTTCATCTCCTATTACTTACCTCAAATCACGGTTTCAGCCTCTTCAGGTTTACTTCAGACTTTGGACTACTCTGACACTGGGTAAGTCTTTATTCATACTTTCTTTTTTTTCAAGAGCCCGTTTTTCATACCTTCATTACATGGATCCCATTCTGTGGCAAGTGGTGCCTGACCAGATATTCTTTAAATCTAAATCTGTACTCTATGCCATGTTGACTAACACTTTCCTCTCCATGGCTTTGCACACTCACCTTTGAGATGGGGTGTTTCATAAGATCATTTGTAGGTGAATAACCTCATGATATTTTCTTCATAGATTGGCCCATCCCGGACCATACCACTCATGGACTTCATGGGTAAAGCAGAAGGGGATCGCTACCCATCCCTGCCATGCCTCAATTGAATAAATTGGTATGGTCTGCTTTTCAAGATAGGGTTTCATGATCACTCATTGCACTGTCTCAGGTGTCGATGTTCTTCCAGGTCTCTTAAACACATTCTCATCCCCACTTTTCTTCTACTGAAGTATGGGAGTCCTTACCACTTATCAGTTCCAAGTTGCTGGGGTGGTTGACCATGGAGACACCCTGCTGGATGGGTTCCACATAAGATGGCTATAACCATTCAGTTCAGAGTATGGTGGTGGTGTCCTGCCAGTGTAGATGACATTATATCCTCCGATTTGTGATTAACCAAACAATGGGGTGAGATGTCAAAAAAATGTGGGCCCTCATCCTACCCTCACATGGATGTCGGTACATTGTGGGCTGGTTTTGAATTTCGAGTGAACCAATCAACATAAGTCCTCACACAGGTTCAGGATTGTCTATCTTTCTCCTTGATTTCATTCTTCTGTGTTGTGGGTCACAGCAGGGATATGTAGGATTATTCCGGTTCTATTCTTGGCACTTCCTCATTCTCTCATATTACAGGGATGTTCTTGACCTTTGATGGTCCTGAACGGTTTCACGGTTGATTGCATGCAATAGACTTCCTTCTGATACAGGATGTCAAATTCCCAGATCTGTAGGTCAGAGCTAATCTTGTGTAATACCCAGGAATCAGATTGGTTCTCAATTCCACAGTTTTTGGGTTTGAGGTGAAGATAGTATGATCCTCATCCTACCCTTGTGCAGATGTAAGTACCCTCTGAGGAGGTTTTGGTTGCAGTTGACTTACCGAGTACACTCCACCACACCCTAGCCACTTTACACAATGGGACACATCCTTGTTTACCCACTTTTCTTATTGTGGGATTCAGTTACAATATCTTTTTCTGGTTAGGATGAGTTTCCTACCACATTCTCTCCCACTCAGATGTGCTCCTCTCATTTTCCGCCATGATTTCTTATACATTTCACATATGGGCAAAGAGTATACCTGGATCAGAAGTGGTGCGGTTCCCCTCTTCAGATCTGACTATCTCATCTATAGAGGTATCCTTCGAATGCTTTCAGGGGTACATCTGTTCTTCCCTCACACCAGTCCCTCCTCCTCCTCAATGTGGGATTCTAGCTAATCTTGTCAGCAGAGGGAAGCAACGTATTGAAAGTTATAAATTTCCTATACTGAAAGTGTATTTCTGATAGGTACTTCTCTCTTCTCACACTTCCCATCCTTCTCCCACTCCCCAACTGAAAAAATGCCTGATTTGAGCATTGTGCTATAAAGTACAGTTAGAGTTTTGCAGTCATCTCATTTTTCATTCATATTAGTAACATCTTTAAGCAGTTCTTGAATCTCAGTATAATCAGCTTCCACTGCTTTTGTTGCAACTGCATAAGCTGACTAGCAAGTACCATTGTGGTCATGAAAAAGTAGTACAACTGTTTCATAAAATTAAAGAATGCTACGACTGTGTGACAGCAATCAACTGTAGCCTGCCTAACTAGATTTAAAGACTGCATACAACAAGGTACATATCTGGCTAGTGGATTATTTTCACAAATTATGGATGGCAATTCATTATACTTTGTACTCATGTTAGACACATTCTCATACAACTGTCCAAAACAATATGAAATGTCAATATCCATTTTTTTTCAGGACATTGCAGAAGGGAATCAGCCATACCCTGTCTTGTATGACCATGGTTTTTGATAAATTTAAGGGGGCCATTATTTTAAATGTACTCTATCAACCACATAGCTTTGCATGCTGCCTCTTTAATGGAGCACTGCAATTGGTACTGCTACAGCAAGAAAAATACAGTGGCACTATAGCTACCCCTACTTTTGAAACTGACATTTTTTATGATAATTATTTTTTGTCAATGGATAATGTAAGATTGAAGAATGCAAATTTATTGGTAAATGCTAATACTTCATTGCTACAATAACATGATACAGACTTCTCAGAACAGCCTATCCATATTTGTGAATGATGAGAGGATAGAAACAACTCTTCAACCTTTGATACATTCAATGGTAGTAAGTAAAGAACACAATAGTAAAAAATGAATGAATATGAGGACAGTAATAACAATAAGTAAACTGATAAACCAATATGAAATAAAAAATCTCTAATATCAGAAGATATTATGTCCATTATTATTCGTGCAATTTTATTATTATTATAATTTATTATTTAATTTCAGTAGCATCAGCTTCTCCAAAATTTTATCTGTCAATCCAACTTTTTTTAGCTTCAAAATGTCACTCCCTGTTGAGAAAATGCACTCTTTAGCTGCACTCGATGGAATGGGCATATTGAAGTAAATGAAGAGAGATTTAAAAGCTGGTGAAGGGAACAAGCTTGATTATACATCTTTTGAATTAGATGGTTCTTTGCTCAAGAACAATGTTATTTGATCATTGCAAGATGAATTACTTGCCAATTTTGCTTGTTATGAAAGCACATGAAGAAGTATTTTTCATCCTTTCCCTCAGTGCTCCAAATGATGAAAAAATCACTGAACTTTCATCACTGCTGTCTTCCATCTTCTCTGAAAGTTTTTGATCATCATTTGTTTTACAGTTTCTTTCCTAGCTTTTGAAATAATCCAAATCAGTTTAAACCATGGGTGAATATCAGCTGTGAGATTGTGGATTTCATTGACAAAGACAGCTTTAAAGCACTTCTCAGTTTCTGAAATCCAAGCATTAATAAGTGACTTGCAAGTTTGGAGTGGTATATCACAAAGATCTTTCAGTTTTTGTCAAACATGCAGTAAGTGTTGGCAGAAGTAGTCCCATATTGGCTTTAGTTTCACTTGGAAGTCAATCTAGCCCTTGTGCTACATGTCCCATGATGATTATGTACTATTTGATGAAGTTTATATCCAAAAGGTTACAACTAGCAATGCCCAGCTCATTGTAATTTCTTATTGGCAATGTAAATATTCTTTTTTGGACAAACACATCTTACACTGCAACAAAACACTTTCACTTCCAACAAATTCAAAATAATTTTTCATGTAAGACCAAGGATGGCTACTTCCATGATTAGACTCACTCTTAAGAGCTTCTGTCACAGAAATATTGTCTTTTTTATTGGATTCCTTTTTATGACTTAAAATATAAATATAGCTATTATTATTAACATACAGTGCAATGAAATGTTTGAAATTAACAAATGGAAATATGTACGTACCTTTCAGCTCTTTGTAGAAATTCACTAGAAATCTTCTTTGTTTCATATACATAATTTTACATCTTTATCTTTTCACTTATAGTTTATTTTTAATTTTATTTTCCATTCTTCATCTTTTATTATTTATGCTGAAACATCTTATAATGGCCCACAGGTCATTTTACAACTGTTCACAGGACACTTGTTAGCCTGAGGGCAAAATGTCATATGTTTAGATTTGACAAGATACAAGACTAATAATTAAACGTATAAAAATTATTAAACCTTTCAAATATGAATTTTAAAACAAATAATATATAATTAAGTAATATATAAAAGTAAAACCGTAATGCAATTTAACTGTCTATCAAACTAATATGTATAAGGCATGAAACAATAGCCAAGCACTGGGGACATTAATCTCCACAATGGACACCAATGGAAATTTGCTTGTCATTTGAAAAATATTCTATTACTTACATCTTCTTTACACTGGAGAGACTAGAGATGAATTCTGCTCTTTCTGTTGGTTAAAAGAATTCCATTCAAGGACAGAAAAACCTGTTGCTTAGCAACAGATTACTTTGGAATATGAACCTGGCTTTTAGCAGATGGGGTAGGGTGATAAAATCATTTCCTAAGAATTCTTGCAGTTGAGAAACGAAACAAATGTGTAAAATTGGACCTGTACACATAGAGCTATGACTAAACTGTGGTAGAGGTACAGAGAGAGAGCTATAAGGATACATAAGCAAGTCAAACCTAAGGTCTTTCAACAATATGCATATAAAGTGACCTAAAAACTGTTTGTTTCAGAGGTTTCTTTTGTAACAAAGGAATAATGACTTGGATAATATAAAACTTTGAATTATAATGTATTTGATAATGCTAATTTTATTAAAATTAAAATTTTGAATGTAACTCAGTAACAGAAGAGTATTTAAAAAGTGTAGCATTTGTTAAAAGGTTAAATCTTTCCTTTTCCTTAGTTGTCATGGTTACTTATGACTGCTTAATTTTTCACAGTTAGTAGCTTATATGTCTTTTAAGATAATTTTTTATGACCCTTCTGTAGATTTCCCGTGACTTCTTCAGTGACGTTATTTATAATCCTTCTGTAGATTTCCTGTGGTTTCTTTGGTGATATCATTTATAATCTTTCTGTAGATTTCCTGTGGTTTCTTTGGTGATGTCATTTACAATCCTTTTTTATATATTTCCTGTGGCTTCTTCAGTGATGTTATTTATAATCCTCCTGTGGTTTGTTCATTCATATTTTTTATAATTCTTCATTTACTGTGGCTTCTTTGGTCATATTGTTTATAATCCTTCTGAAGATTTTTTGTGTCTTCTTTGGTAATGTTTGTAATCCTTCTGTAACATTATTATGACTTTTTAAGTAATGCTATAAATAATCATTCTTTATATTTCTTATTATTTCTTTGTTCATGTTGTTAATAACCTTCTATAGATTTCATGTGTCTTTCTTGCTCATGTTGTTTGTAATCTAAAGAAAAACAACCCAGCTGTAAAAAAGTGCAGCAAAGAAGAAAAAAAAGACAGCGACTAAAAGATGTAAAATCAAAATTGGCACCCTAGCTAGTGCAGTAATACTGTTGATGACATTGAAAATTTTAATAATGACAGCTCAGGTGAACATTGTGTTACCATCATCCATGTTTTATTTAGGATTCTGTAACACAATGTTTACCTGAGTTGTCATTATTAAAATTTTTAGTGTCATCAACAGTATTACTGCACTGTTGGATTGCAGATTTTGATTTCACATCTTTTAGTTGTCGTATTTTTCTTTTTTTCTTGGCTGCACTTTTTATATACACCTGGAATTTTTTGGTTTAGATATCACTACTTTTTAAAAAGCAGAATGCACAAGTGATTGTGAGGGATATCGTCATACCTTTTAATGATTAACAAAGCCTAAAAATACATATACATACAAGTGTGAGCTATAAATGCATGAATTTTACACACACACATACATGGATTTATCATGTCACGCAGCATGTGGCCTACATGTCAGTTGAATATCCACCATGCAGAGAAGCTGTAAAATATAAAGAATGTTTTCAAAGTGGCAGAGTACAATATTATATTTTACTTACATATATACAAGCTATCACACTTTAGAGACGATGCGATCTAGGCTGTAGAACGAGATGTATATGTCCTTTGCTGTTGTAGACCTGAACACTAGTCAGTTGAGATCTGATAAAAACTGGATAACAGCTGAGTTTTAAGTTGAGATCAGAGAATTCCTGTAAGTAATTTCAGAAAAATTTCATTTATTATTTGTCCTGCAGGTCTGAGCCAAAATTATCCTTCAAAAATTGCCATTCTTTTTTCTGTAATAGCTAAACTTTGTGTTTGGTTTGCATGAAATTTAGACTGATGTAGAATAAATGGTATGTTAAATGTGTATCAAATTTCATAAAAATTGAAGAGTGGAAAGTATGTTTTTAAAAATTCCTTACAATTTAGTTCATAGAAGAAGCAGACAAGGAAAATCAGACAAACTTTGGCATCTCATATCTCAGTGTTGGCTGCATGGATTTGGTTGAAATTTTGAATGTGAGGTAAGCAATATATATGAAAAATTCATGGAGGGAATATTAAGTTACAGGTAGCTGAAAATGGCAATTTCTTGATTCATATAAATAACATATTATGTGCCATACATCTCAAGTTTTTTTGCTTTTTTTTTTGGCCACATGACACACTACTGTATGTCTTGATAATTTTGTACATTTCCTGTGTCTTTTTCAGCGATGTTTTTCATAATGCTTCTGAACAATTACTGTGGCTTTTTCAATGATTTTGGTTATAATTCTTTAGTGCATTTCCTTTGCCTTCTTTAGTCACATTGGTAATGCTCATTCTGTATGTTTCCTGTGGCTTCTTTGGTTATGTTATTTAAAGTCCTTCTGTATATTTCAAATAGTTTCTTCAATCTTATTGTTTATAATTTTTCTATACAATTACTGTGGCTTTTTCAATCATCTTTATAATCCTTCTGTATATCTCCAATGGCTTCTTCAGTGATGTTTTTTACAATCCTTCTTTACATTTCCTGTGGCTTCTTTGGTCATTTGTTTATAAACCTATATGTTCAGTGTGGCTTTTTCAATTACATTGTTTTTAATGCTTCTGTAGATTTCCTGTGGCTTTTCCAGTCATTTTGTTTATAATCCTTCTATACATTTACTGTGGGTTTCTCATTCACTTTGCTTTTATTCCTTCTATTCATTTCTTGTGGCTTCTTCAGTCATATTTGTTACAATCCTTGTGAAGATTTTTCGTCACTTTTTTGATTAATATTGTTTGTAATTCTTCTGTAGATTTCTTCTTACTTCTTTGGTCTTGTTGTCCTCCTCTTGTCCCCTTTCCAGGGTCCATTACCTCTTTTTTTTCACTGGATCCCACTCTGCAGTAAGTGTTGTCCAGACAGGTGTACTTTTATCACTCCAGTTCCACACTAGCAAACAATTTAACTATATTTACTACTGGTTGCAACAGGTTCTGTAGAAATCAGGTGTTCCATAAAACCCTTTAGGAGCTCACCAGATGGTATTACCATTTTATGCTGGACCCCACTCATGGACAATCATGAGTAAAGGTAAAGAGGAACTTGCCTGTCCCTGTTGATCATTAGATTGAATAAATCATGGTCTGTTTGCTTTCAAAAATTTAGGGAAGTTGGTTCAGCTATTGCACTGTTTCCAGAGCACTGTTCCTCAGGACTCCCCAACATGAATTCCCCCCAGATTCCACTAGTGGAGCTGAGAAGTCCTTACCACACCCAGTTTATAGTCACTGGGGTGATGGACAGAGGCTTTTCCTCCAGAATGTTTGAGTGATTTCCTCCACTCTTGGAGAAGAAGGCAAAGTTCGGGGCCATCCTACTTGAGTCCCTGAATTTTTTTCCAGATGTTGGTAGGAGCGACACCAGCCTACGTGGGAACATGCTTGTAATACCAGTTCAGATTTGATGCTCAGCTATCCGGTTAGGGTGCACATGGCCCTTGTTTTTGATCAATATTGGTTTAGTTTTTTATTCATGGAGGGAGGTACACTATCTCCTCATAATTCTGAATGCTGAGTGGTCCCATCCTATAATGTTGCAGTCCAATTACCCTAGCCACCAATGTGGGATATAGGGACCAAGACCTTTTAATTCCAACTCCAAGTTGTAGAACCTTGGCTATCTGGTTGTTGCTGGCCTATAGTGATGATTACTCAGGTACTATTTTACCCTTGATAGAGGAACTAAGTTCAGGGTAAAAAGCATACCTGTTCTGGATGTGGTACAGTTCCCCCACTTGGATACCACTCTTATCTTGGTTCATCCTTGATCTATGCAGACACTTACTACCCTTACCAGCCCCTCCATGTTCTCAGTGTGGGATTCAAGCTTTAAGTGGCAGCAGAGGTAATTATGTTTTGGAAGTTAACATTTTCCTAGATTGAAAATGTATTTGCAATAATACTTATCTCTGCTAACACTCTCCCATCCTTCCTCCAAACTGAGAGCCAGTGTTAGAGATTGGGATGTTTTCAGTCTTGAAAAAGTGATAGAATTATCTGAATGAGGTGCTTATATACAGTACCAAGATAGAGGGCACATTGACGTAAGTGGAGAGTATCACGTGACAGATATCACCAAGGGCAATTGAGTGGGATATAAAAGACTGAAGCAAGTGAGAAAAAATCAGCCCAATGTCTAGATGGGCAAAGTTGAAACCCTGGCAGTTTAGTAATAGCTTTAAGTGTCAGCAGAGTTTTATTGGAAATACATTTTCAATTTAAGAAAATGTTAACATCTGGCCCATGCACCCATGACATCACCTTTCCCTTTAAGAAAAAAAGAGAGCTCTTGTCTTCTGAGACCTTAATCAGGGTCAAGATATTCCCATCAGTGATGTAAAAAAAAGTATTTTATATTATTCACAAACTCTACTTTATTAGCTGGCTGTGTTTCAGTTTTCTCTCTTGAAATTTTCTTTAGCTTTTCCTATTTTTCAATAAGCTTCTCCAATTTGATAATAGCATGATATTCTGGATGAACTGGAATTTGAGCCCTGTTTCAAAAAGCTACAGCATCCTTAATCACAAGCTTTGAACTTTCTCAAACTGCCTTCTTTAATGTTTTGCAATGGTATTAAAACATATTAAGAACTTGCCTATTTAAAATAATCTGCTTCCTATTAGTTCAGTTTCTTCTGAGCCAAACAAACAAAGTTTAGTCTTACTTCTTGTTGCAGTATCTGTTTGCATTGATGTGCCAACACAGTGTCAGCTGAAATGATACAGAAGTAATTCTCGGAACTACTGTCATGCAATACAAAATATTCCTGGATTATGTATGTATGGAATGTCCTTGAACATTCTGAATAATGTGGAAATCTCTGGAATATTACAAAATAACCCAGAACTTGCCAGAATTATTTAGAATACTCAGAATATGCAGATACAATACAAGCTATTAGATAGAATTTTAACTACTTTGATCAGTGATGTATTTATGATTTTAGTCCAGGTTTTAGAAGGTTAAAAGAGACCTCAACCTTTAAAAGTTATATTGTAGGGTAAGAAAAGTGAACTTATTTCTGAATGCCTTTTTTTAGAGAATAGGCATATTATGGGAAAGATGAATCATTTCATTCAGCTTTCACATACTGCTGTGTTTATCGTACATGCTCCTCTCATGGGAACAATCTGTGAAAACAGGCAAGTTCTGGTTAAAACATTGTTCACTATATACTTATGGCTTTGTATTAATGTTAAATTATCATTTTACATTAGTTATAGTTATCCAGACTTTTAAAACAAATTTTACGAGTTTGAGCTGAACATTGAAAATACATGTATCTTGTTCTATCAAAACTTTGAAAACAACCTGTAATTATCACATACAGTGTCAATTATAACAAAATGAAATTAACACAATAAGGTTTTTTGTGCCCTTAAAGCATCATTTCCCTCTTTTTCTGGACTACGAAGTGGCTTAAAACAGTGTGTCATGTCACACAAATGTGCTCTACATCATTCATTATGGAAACATGAGCTATGTGTTCACTGAGTGATTTACAATTTCACATATGTAATATGTATGTTGGGATTATTAGTTAGGTAAGGTTGAAATAGCAAACTGTAAATTAAGTAGAAACCTATGTAGACTGTTATGAGCTTTAAGCTATTTGGGTGGACTGTTGTAGTTTTCTGTTATTCTTTCTGTCATTCTAGAAAAAAATAGGGTAATTTAGATTTATTTCATATTTTTTTGTAGTAGTTACAAGGTTAGCCAAATTGGTAGAGTCAGTATTGAGTAAGGGTGGAGAAAATAACAGATAAAATATAGATATTTCACTGAAAAAAAAAACTTGGAATTTGTTTTAATGTTTACTGCAAGCTTACCAAATTTCAGTGTGTATTACAAGTGAGTTGATTGTGAATTTACTGTTATGACAGCAGATGTCACGTGATGCTGGTAACACGTGATGAATTTCTCGAATGATCTGGGAGGCCTGAGTGTATTTGAGGCGCCCCCTTTGTTAGATTGTGAATTGCTGTAATTTATTGCGTGCATTATAAAACTAGTTAAGTTTAAAGTGACGAGAAACGTACTGATTGTGAAATTACTGTGTGCTAAAAGTTTGTATTGAGGAAGAATAAACTGGTTTAATTAAGAAAGGACTTGTATTGCTGAAATTTCTCGGAAAGAATTTCTACCGGAAATTAACAAACAGCAGATATGCAACATTACATAATTGCTTTTAAATTTTCATAAAACCTAGGTCCTTTGAATTAAACCAACTTCCTGAACATTAAACAGATTGTCATGGTTATCTTATCGAAGCAAGTTTAATCTTGTTAATATGGCCAAGTACTCACTCCTAACTTCACTCATTAATTACAGCTAGACCAGTGTGTGTGATTTGGATCACTCAGCTTAGACTTATATTTGAATCCGTAAATTCAGGATTATAATATACATTTCCATGGCTCATAATTCAATGAGAGTAATCGAATGATTTTCTCACGACTGCTCATACTTTAAATAAAAAATTAAAATGTTAGGTAATCAAGAAATTAATGTCGCTTTTTTTAGATGAAAAAACCTAAACAACTTATATATCCAAACAAAACATTTATTAAATGAAATAGTCTCCATTCATATCGATGATGCTTTTCCATCTTACATTCAGGTTGTTAATGCCCTGATTAAAGAAACCTCTTTTCTTTGAAGCAAAAAACATATTGATGTCCTCTTTAACACTTTCCACATTTGCATATGTTTTCCATTTAAGGTGGTGTTGCAGCAAAGGAAAAAGATGGTAATCTGATGGTGCAATATCTGGAGGATATGGTGGGTGGGGAGAACTTCTAAACCCAACTCCATAATCTTGTGTTGCATCGAACGTGCCACATGTGGACATGCATTGTCATGGAGAAGAATGCCTTTCCGATTGACAAGTAAAGAGCATTTCTGATGAAGGGCTTGATTTAAATGTTCCAGTTGCTGACTATAGATCTCTGCATTGAGAGTTTGCTGTGGATTGAGGAGTTCGAAATGAAT